CCCCCCCCCGCCCCGGGCAGGACCTGCCCCAGGCAGGGGTTGGGGCTGTCTTCCTGACTGTCGCAAGTACAGAGGACTGAGCGTGCCTGGTGCTCATGTCCTGGCCCAGGAAGCCGGGTGGGTACCTGGCGGTACTGCTCCCGCTTTGGACACCCCACCCTCCCTGCCTCAGAGCGTAACCGCAACCTCACAGCTCCCTGCCCAGCTGCTCCCCTGGGGCCCCGGGAAAGCCCACTGAGCGACCCCGGGGTGGTCACCTGACAGGCCAGAGGAGGTGCGTTCAGCCCCGCGGTGGCGTCCCGCAGGTATCACTGGAGGTGCACCGCGGCCAGCGCCCCTGGGCACCCCTGCTTCTCCGCCTCCTCCCCACGCAGCCTGGACGCCGGGGCTCCCACCCTTTCCTTTCCTGCGGACTCTCTGAGTGACAGCTATGACCAGTTTCTCGTGACACTGATGGTGTCCAGCGGTGGCCGGAACTCTTCAGAGGCACAGGTGTTCCTGTCCCCTCGCCCCAACTCGGCACTCAGGTGTGTCCTGTCCTGTGCTCCCTGCACTGCAGATCCAATGGGTGCACCCTTCATGCTCTGCCCTATGGGTGTGGGAGCCACTACATGCGGGAGCCGGGCCCACAGGAGAAAGGGGCTGACCAGGGAGGGCTGGGGGCATCCGCGGTCCTCTGGCCCCAGGGCAGAGCCTTTTGGGCACATGCTGGCACCTGGGGGCTCCAAGCGGGAGGGCTCCTGTGTCTGGGGCCTGAGGCCAAGCCTGGAAGGGGCTAAGGCATCTCAGGGCCTCTGCCCAGGGCCTTCCAGGCGTCGCCGAGCTGGGCCAGATGGCAGCGTGGAGGTGGTGCAGGTGGAAGGGGCAGAGAAATACTATGACCACAGAGGCCAGCACCTGAGTGAGGGCCCCACTCAGCGCCGGCACCATGCAGGCTGGCGTGCCCTGCCGCTGCTTCAGACTTCCCCTGGGGAGCTAGGTCCCGAGGAGCGGGCTGGGGGCAAGCGGGACCGCTTCCGTACATGGACCCCGCAACGGGTCTAGGCAGTTGCCATCGTCATGTTGAAAACACGTGTAGTTAGAAGTGTGGGTAGCTGGTTCTGGAAGGCTTCCTGGAGGAGGAAGCAAATTGGCCGTGCCTGGCAGGACCAATGCAAAGGAGAGGACATGAGCTGTGGTACCAAGGTCAGGCAGACCACCGTGATGGAGCCCCGCCACCCCCCAGGGGTTTGAAACAAGTCTCAGCAGACAGAGTGGACACTTCTCCAAGGTCCATACAGACCCAGACTGCCTGCATCGGTTTTGAATTGTGATGTGTGTTAAAGGTGAAGGAATGGGGGTGCCCTGCTGGCTCAGTCAGTGGAGCATGTGACTCTTGATCTCTGGGTCGTGAGTTCAAGCCCCACACTGGGTGTGGAGCCTACTTAAAAAAAATTTTTTTTTTAAGTGAAGGAATGCCAGTACAGGGCTACAAGCCTTGGGCCATCATTTAAATAATTATACTGGGGCGCCTGGGTGGCGCAGTCGGTTAAGCGTCCGACTTCAGCCAGGTCACGATCTCGCAGTCCGTGAGTTCGAGCCCCGCGTCAGGCTCTGGGCTGATGGCTCGGAGCCTGGAGCCTGTTTCCGATTCTGTGTCTCCCTCTCTCTCTGCCCCTCCCCCGTTCATGCTCTGTCTCTCTCTGTCCCAAAAATAAATACATGTTGAAAAAAAAAAATTTAAATAATTATACTAATAAGTTAGGCCCTTTTAAAAAGAATACAATGTACCATATGATTCTGCTACTCATAAGATAAAGAATTTATTTGAAGATACTCACCATGTTCTAAAGGTGGATGTCTATCAGTCCTGTCAGGCATTATCTGGGCCCCTGTGGACCCTGTCTCTGCGAGGTCTGGGGCCAGACGGGCCTCCCGCGTCTGGCCCGTCCCTACCCAACAGGCACACGCACGTGGTGCATGGAGAGAGACGTGACCACTTACACGCAGACACACGTGTGTGCACACATAGGGACAGCCCGGCCTGAGGCCCCTCGAGGAGCCTGCGTGGCCCCGTGTGCTGTGCTCCCTCCACCCGGACCTCCTGTGCTGGGGGGGCCGCGGTCTGACACGGGGGGAACACCTGCACCGCACACATGCTCGGGGAGGTTGGGGGGGGGGGGTCTCTCTACCTTGGCCTGCCGAGTCCCGCAGGACAGAAACCCGTCGAATCAGGCCCGCGGCGGCAAACCCTGACCACCCATACCGCCTAAGGAACTGCGTTCCTCAGGGCATGTGTTGGCAAGTGCTGGTCAGCAAAGGAGCCTGGGGAAGGAATTCGGGGGGCCGCGGGGCTGCAGGCCTGAGAGATTGTGTGGGGCCCAGCAGACTGCAGGGAGCAAGGCTAAGGGCATGGATGCAGTGTCCCCTGGAGGACCCGAGGCCGTGTGAGAATGCAGAATGTCCTCGGCCACTGGGGGCGGAGCCCCAAGGTGAAGAGAACGCTCAGGGGGCGTCCCTCCTGCAGAGAGAGTGGCCAGAGCGCCATCCTGGCTCTGTCCCGAGCTGTGTAACCTGGAGGGATCGCACACCCTCTCATTGAGCTCAATGTGTTTGCCTCCTGAGATCTGGCCCGCATGGGTGGAGCTGGGTGAGGGCTCGGCCACCCCAGAGGTGCTCAGTCACGTTGGCCGTGACACAGACACCCTCTTAACGTGGCTGAACGAGACCACAGAAGCACCCAGTCCTTTCCCTAAAACCTCCAACCCGGTCTGCACGTCACAGATTTGTCCACATCTCCTGGGTCAACTTTAGAGACGTCTTTGTTAACTGGAACGAGGAACTTTGTCTTCAGGCTGAGTGCGAAGTCTGTGGCCAAGTGTCCGGGCTGTCCTACTCCTGGGACCTCTTCCTGGTCAACGCAACAGAAGGGACTAGTGTGGAAGGTGAGGTCGCTGCCCCTTCGTGTGTTAAGCGGGGCAGGACGCGGGGATTCACAGATCGCTAATGGTATGCAGACTGCCTCCTCTGGGCCGGCATCCCTGGTCCTGCCTGTCACTGACCGTGTCCCCCAGCCCCTCTCCTTTATGCCCTTGGGGATGCCTCGCCCCCGTCCCTCCCAGGTCCCGCCATCCTTGGGGCCAGGTCTCGGCCCAGCTCTGCTCCCCGTGCCCAGAGGGGCTTCTCCAAGACCTGGCTCTCTTGGGTGGGGAAGGTGGGTCCGGGCGCTGCCGGGATGGTGGTGAGGGTACGTGGGATCCCGGGAGAACACACCCACTCTGGGGTAGGCGGTGGCCTGCGGGTGCCATGGCCGCTGGGTTTGAACCACGAGGGACATGGGTTCCCACCGGTGGTGTCTGTGATCAGAGAGATGGTGGCGAATGGCAAACAGAAGGGCTTTTATTTCTGAGCTGCGCGTGGCTGTTCCTATGACAGAAGCTTGTGCCAAGCCCTCAGAAACCCACACTTAACTTCTTTTGGATCCGTTTGGTGGGACCACACGCAGCTTCCCTACACGGAGCTCGGAGCCTGGCTGCCCTCACAGCTGGAGGGACACGGAGACTCGGGCAACGTGCACTTCTTCACAGCGGAGCTGTTCCCACACCCCGAGATAGTTGAGTGTTTCTGAGGCAAAGCCCGTGGGGAACGCACTAGAGGAACCTGGGGCACAGACCCCGGTAGTTGATCTTGCAGCAGAGCCAGGGATTATCCCTTGTCTTTGTTGTCACAGAATCTTGCTGTGTCACGGCAGCACTTAAAAGCTGGCCACTGTGACACATCGTCTTTTACGTCTTCAGAAATTTTTCTTTGTTTGGCGTTTGTCCTTTCTCGTAAATTATCCTAGCACTTGTTAGAACTGTGACCCGAGACGCTGACAGGTGAGTGAGGGTCGGGAGAGAGTCCACGTGGCCGCATTGTCTCGAACATGCGTGGACGACCCGTGCCAGGCGGGGCCCCGAGGGGGACACGTGGACAAATTGGTGGCCTGCTTCCATGCATCTGCTTCTCAGGGGCCGGACTGCCTGCCTCCGGTGAAAACCAGGCTCTGCGAATTTTCTCATACGTGTCCTTTTCAGATTTGCATCAGGTCTGTTACAGCAGCACGTGATGTAATCTGTAAACCTTGAACCGCATAGCTTTTCTGCTCCAGATTTCTGACACTGTCCTGTGTTTGTTCAAGTTCCCTTTTGTAGGACGGTGGGGCTGCTGGGCTCTGCCGGGCTGGGGGCCGTTTCCAGGCCACCAGATTCCAGTCCACCGTCCACGGAGCCGAGCTGGCCGGAGTGCCACACAACGGGAGCGCCGTTCTCACAGGAGCCGCCACAGACCCGGGGCCAGCCCGGCCTTTCAGCCGCGGGGAAACCCTCCTCAGGGCCCACGGTCAGCCGACACTGGGTTCCCGCCACGGGTGACGCTGCGGCCCTGGGAGTGACTCCCCAGGACCAGGGCTCTCCAGGACCCAGCTCCCCTGGAGGAAGTTCGCCCTCCCAGGGACTGTCCCCTTCCCCCTCTGGTAAGTGCCACAGTCCCCTCATATTCGGGGCCGGGCCCAGACTCCACTGTCTCCTCCACTGTGGTGGTGACGCGGTAACACCCGCAAGGACAGGATGTGGACTCTAGAAACACACTGGGGTGGCCCACATGCTGCGTCAGGAGGGTGGGTATTAATTTCAGGAGAGTCTTATGGCTTTAAATGACACGTTATGGTTTTCTCCTCTCGTGTAGATTTTGAAGCCTATTACGGCAATATCCAAGAAGCAGAGCTGTCCAGAGGGAGACAGCCCGCTGACTGTGAGTCCGTGCTTCTCCCTCTTTCTGGGGCTCCTTGGGTCCCTGTGTCCCCTCCTCGGGTCCCTGTGTCCCCTCGGGTCTAACCTCTGAAATCGAGAATTGCCCCCCGCCCCATGGCATCACGACCACCAAGAGCTCCCAGAGACAAAGAAGGAAAAAGCCCCGATTCCTCTGCATGGCACCGTCTCCCCCAAATCCTTATTTCCAGCTCACCTACTTCTCTTCGGGCTCCCTGCGCTTCCAAAAGCCCCAGGCCCATGGGGGGTACTGCCCCTGTCCCACACCTCAGTCCCCAGAGCGTCATCTGCCAAAAACACCTCCCTTTGCGCCTTCCCCACTTGTCATCTTGGAGCGCTTCCTCCTTTCCGGTCAGCCTCCGTTCCCTTCCTCTGGGACGGTCCCACCTTCTTACCTTGTATCACCCCCGCTCCTGTGACAGCCCAGCAGACTCCTCACTGCGCCTGAAGCAGGTGCGCGAGGTGCTCGCAGCTGTCTCCTTGTGTGTCCTGCTCTAGTCTAGCTCTTCAGGGGAGCTTCCCTGGCAAGTGCAAACCCATGTGCCAGATGATCACAGTGCCTGGCACACCGGCACACAGTGAGTATGTTCTCAGATGGAGAGATGCACGGTCACTGGAGGATTGGTCGTCTGTGGGCAGGATGGCCAGATAGTCATTGGAGGACGTGTCTGTGGGCAGGACGGCCGGACGGTCAGTGGACGACATGTCTGTGGGCAGGATGGCCGGACGGTCAGTGGACGACGTGTCTGTGGGCAGGACGGCCGGACGGTCAG